CCTGATGGGTCTTCTGCGCGTTCGGCACCTTCGGCAAGCTCAACGTCCTCATCCTCCAGCTCTTCTTCGTCGTTTACGGTTGACTGGCCTGCTTTGCCGATGCGATGCAGTCCTTTCTTGCCGTACAAGCGTTTTTCAGTTGTGTCTTGGAATGCTCGTTCGCTCTTCGGCGCACTGTACGCCCCGCAGCACGCCCGCCGCGCAAAGATCAGGCAGCTTATCAATATGATTCAGAATCATGATGTAGTATGTATTCAAGAGGCTCGCGGGACGTACGAGTGTTTCCGTGCCCTGGAGCGTGAGGTATATCAGCTCTCTGGCTTCTCGACCTTTCTCTGTAACCCTCACTCTGGTGGTAGTCTTATGTATGTTCATCCTCGGGTACGCAGCACGTTTACACATGCGCAACATCGTGTCATTGCACAAGGGCGTATACGCACTGTTGTTCTTCATAACGACCAGCATGCTATCCAGATTGTTAACGTGCATAGTGATCCTGGTCTCCGTGTGCGTGAACGCAAGCGTCAGCTAGTGCAGATTCGTGATGCCCTTCGGCCTCGAGCGCAGTGCTCTGTCTTTCTTTGTGGCGACTTTAACTTCCCTGCGCAGGGCGAGGGCAGCTTCCAAGTGTCGGGGAGGCTCGTTCACCCCACCCACAGCCTCGCCAAGCTGTTTGATCGGCTCTTTGCACACATGGTCGAGGTTGAACAGCCGCAGTTCACGCGTCGTGTCGAAGGGTACGACGAAGGGCGCAAAGTGGTCCTCTCGCTCGGGCGCCTCGACAGGATCTACACTTCGATCCCTGCTAGCATGATCCTGGACCTTTCCCCGAGCTCTGGAACGATTGGCTGTGCAGCAGACCTCGCCACACCCTCTGATCACGTGCCTGTTTTCTTGGCCCTGGCGCCCCCCAGCCTCAGTGGGACCTCGAAAGTGCAGCCCTGGGTCTCCAAGCACAAAATGTTCCCCGATGTGTTCAATGAGGTTTTGCAAGGGGGAGGTGATCTTGATGATGATCCTATACAGCGGGTGGAGGAGGTACGCAACGCAATACAGGTAGCAGCTAAACTACTACTAGCCAAGCTTGAGCAGACGGGCGCCAGCTCGTTGCCTGAGTACATCTCCTGGTCTCTTGCTGCTATGAGAGCCGAGAGAGCCAAGGCCCCAGGTGTGCTACGTAGGGCTGTGAAGGCCTACCCGATGCTCCAGCGGTTTTTCAATGTCGAGCTCTGCGCTTACTCGAATCTTGTGGGCTTCCACACGTTCTTAGCGAATCTAAAGCGACAGCAGATAGATGAGCAGATTGAAGAAATTCAGAAAGACATGAACATCCCCTCGGCCCCAAAGAAATCCACTATGAACAAGCTTTACACCTTCAGATCGGCGTGGAAGGGGCGTGGTGCCCAGATCTCGTTGCAAGCTATAGCCGACCCGCTCGGTCCCCCCATCTTCGACCCAGTCGCTGGCGCTCGAGAGCTCGCTCGCCACTGGGGAGCTGTGCACTCTGCTGTTGCCATTCAGCCTGCTGCGCTTAATGATTTGCTCGTGCACGTACAGAGAGTTCCTCAAGTAGTTATCTGGAGGTTGGAGGAGGCGGAGTTTTTTGACGTGATGAAGAGACCGCGCGACAGCGCCCCGGGGCCGGATGGGATACCATGCTCGGGCTGGTGTCGAGCGGGGGAGGAAGGAGGACGGGCCTTATTCAATCTGTACGAGCACATCCTTGATGTTGGCGACTGTCACCCAGTGTTTAATTACGGCCACAACATTTTCCTGGCCAAAGGCGATGATGAACATGATTCCTCGCTCTGTATGCGCGCGCCTTCAGTTACGAGGCCGCTGACTATGTCGTGCACCTCGAATAAGCTTGTCTCGCTTGCCCTGAACAGGCCGCTGGCTGCCATCCGCAGATGCTCATGCATTAAGGAACAGAGAGGCTTCGTGGGAGAGAGGAATATGAACGAGAACATTCTCGAGCTCGAATATCGTGCGATGCACTGGTACGTCCAGCGTCTTGTCTCGGCGTGCGGCATCGTGCTGTATGATGTGCGCGCGGCCTTCCCGAGCTTGCTGCACGAAGCTATGTTTGCCACTCTGCGTGCCATGGGGGTGCCAGGCTATTTCGTTCGTGCAGTTCAATGCCTCTACACCAATGTTTGGATTGCTATTTCGTATCGGGGAATGCACCAGGATGTAGGCTACTGGCTCTCCCGCGGCATCAAACAGGGATGCGCTGTTAGTGGTTCGCTGTTCGCACTCGCCGTCGACCCCGTGCTGCGGATGATTTGCCTCCTGCTTCCACGACCGCTCCACAGCCTGGGGGCCTTCGCTGATGATGTGGGGATTAGCTCGGGGGCCATTGTCGAGGCGTTCGTTTCCAGCATGTCGGTGTGGGACCTCGCTGGGCCTGGTATGGGCCTGTGCATCAACGTTGGGAAAACGGTGATCGTCCTTCTGGGGATCTCGGAGGCAGATTTTCTTGCAGCACTTGGGGCGCGCGGGTTTCAGGCCGATACTATGGGCCTTCAGTTGCTCCCCCGAGGGCGATATCTTGGCATACGGCTGGGACCCGATAGTGTGTTCGATTCCTGGGAGCCTGCCCTTAAGAAGTACGTCCAGAGGATCCATATGATTCGAGGCCTCGAGTTGGGCCTCACGAAAACTATGGCACATTATAACATGCTCGCGTTTTCTGTGCTCACGTTCATCGGCCAGTTTTTGGAGCCCACGAACCGTTGCCTGAGCCTGGAGCGCGCTGGCCTGCAGAAGCTCACTGTCGGGCCGAACAATGCTGTCACGGCCTCGATGATGCAGGGCCTGACACAGCTGGGCTTTCCCCTGGACGCCAGATCGCTGGAGCGCACATGCCGTGCCGCCAGATACCGTGCTGCTTACTACTCCCCTGCCTTCCACGAAATCCGAAGGATGCTAGAAGAATTCTCAGAAGATGATGAGTGTGTAATAAATTGGCGTATGCACCCCTGGTGGAAAAGCAGCATCCTACGGTCGATGATCGAGAATTTCGAATTCCTGACCAGTATCCCAAACGTGCCGAGGGATGAGGTGCCGCTTCAGAAAAAGACGGAGCTCTTCCTGCGTGAACTCTTCCCTCGTTCTGTGAAGCCCCAGCTGCTGAGCCGCCTGCACAAAAATGACCCCCGCCTGTGCTACAGTTATCTGGATCTTGTTTTCCTTGCCTTCAGGAGGGCCGCCCCTCTCGTTCCGCCCTCGGTCCTCGCCTCGCTTCTGAAAACTGTGTGTAATGCCTGGTGCACCTCGGGGCGTTTTCGGAATGCCACCAAGGATTGCCCGTTTTGCGGCCTACGTGCTGCTGACACCCTCAAACATGTGATTGAATGCCCGAGGCTCGACATCATTGGGATTTTCCTGCCAGAGCTCCCCTCTGCGTTTTGCCTTGCCCCTGGTGCCACCAGAATTCAGATTTATAGATTTTTTCCTCTTGACAATCGTGCTCTGTTGTCCATCGTGTTGTATATTGATGCCTGTTTTCATTGTTATCATACCTGTCGCCTTCGTCCCGCGTCTCCCGTCGCCGTGGCAGGGGCCCGTTTTCAGCAGGTCTGCAGGCAGAGGTCTGACCTGTCCGCGCTGCTCGGCGCGGCCCCGCAGGCGCCGCCGCGCGCCGCTGCGTCGACGACGTCTTGCCCTCGTCTCGCCTCTTGTCCGCCTGCCCTCTTCTCGTCCCTCTCTTTTGGCCAGCGCACTCCTCCTCCTCCTCCTCCTCCTCCTCCTCCTCCTCCTCCCTTTCCTCCTCCTCCTCCTCCTTTTCCTCCTCCCTCCTCCTTCCCTCCGTCCTCCTCCTCCTCCTCCCCCCTTCCTTCCTCCTTCATCCTCTCCTCCTTCCTCCTCCTCCTTCTCCTCCTCCTCCTTCCCTACTCCTGTCCCTCCTCCTTCCTCCATCCTCCTTCCCCCCCCTTCCTCCTCCTCCTTCTCCTCCTCCTCCTTCTCCTCCTCTCCTCCTCCTCCTCCGGCTTCCTCCTCCTCCCTCCCTCCGTTCTCCCCTCCTCCTCCTCCTCCTCCTCCTCCTCCCTCCTCCTCCTTCTCCTTCTCCTTCTCCTTCTCCTCCTCCTCCTCCTCCTCCTCCTCCTCTGACTCCGGCTGATAGCATGACAATGAGATCCGCGGACACGGTGCTGTCCCCCCGCCAACCCCCCCCCTGCGGACATTGCCGCTGGGGGCGTTGAAAAGAGATATAGCACCAGACGAAAGAGACGAGGTGGCCCCGCCCCCTGGGCGCCGGCCGCGCTCGTCAAGCGAGGCCGGGCGGGCCACGACCCCACCTCGGACAGGGTTAGGACGAGGATGGATCCATTCTGAGACGAGGAGGAGGAGGAGGTAGGAGGGGCGGAGGAGGAGGTGGAGGAGGTGCGGAGGAGGGGAGGAGGGGGAGGAGGAGGAGGGAGGAGGAGGAGGAGGTTGGGGAGGAGGAGGTGGCGAGGAGGAGGAGGAGGGGGAGGAGGCGTGAAGAGGAAGGAGGAGGAACGAGGACGAGGTGGGGGAGGAGGAGTAGGTTGACGATGGGCGAGGACGAGGACGCTCTCAGAGCGTTCCGAAATGCTCTGAGAAGGCCGCAGCGCCCGCTGCATCCTCCAGAGCCGCCGGGTCTCAGAATTTCTCGATGTATAAACGTCCTGGCCTCGTCTTAGAAGACCCCTTCCGGGGGCCTACCCTGGCCACGTCGCTCGAGCCGCGCCCGGCCGCGAAGGCGAGAGCCTCCAGAAGCGCCCAGCGGCCCCAAGGACGAAGAAACCGTCGACGACGACGACGACGGCGACGACGCCGACGACGACGACGACGACGACGACGACGGCGACGGCGGCGGCGGCGGCGACTACGACGACGACGAAGACGACGGCGGCGATGACGACGGCGGCGGCGGCGGCAGCGGCGGCGACGACAACGACGACGATTTATCCTCGCCCGACTTTATCCTGGCTTCGTCTTTCCACACGTCCGCCCCCCCCACGCCGCTCCCTCAGGGGGCGACCGACAACCGCAGCGAACCCGGGGGCGGCGAGAGCAGGCACGCCGCCGCCGCCGCGCGTCTCTACGGCCGCCGCTCGTCGCCGCCGCCGCCCGCCGCCGCCGTCGGGCGCGGATGCCGCGCGCCGCCGCCGCGCGGCGTCGCCGCCGCGTTGACCGTCGCCGCCTGGCGCCGGCGCCGCCGCTTGTCGGCCCAGCCGCCGCCGCCGTCATCGCGACGCTGCCGCTGGTCGTCGTCGCCGTCGCCGTCGTTTTCGTCGTCGTCGTCGCCGTGTCGTCGTCGCCGTCGCCGTCGTCGTCGTCGTCGTCGCCGTCGTCGTCGTCGTCGTCGTCGTCGTCGTCGTCGTCGTCGTCGTCGGCTTCTTCGTCCGTGGGGCCGCTGAGCGCTTCTGGAGGCTCTCGCCTTCGCGGCCGGGCGTGGCTCGAGCGACGTGGCCAGACGAGGCCAGGACGAGGATAAACCTGCCCCCGGTCTCGGGCGCCGCGGCCTTCTCAGAGCGTTCCAGAGCGCTCTGGAATGGATCTCCCCTCGTCCTATAGCCCCGCCCGATCTTCGGGCGGGCTCAGAGCGTTCTGGATTGCTGTCGGAACGTTCTGTATCGCGTTGGGGTGGCCGCGGCGCCCGATGCATTCTGCAGAAGCGCTGGACCCCAGAGATCTCCGATGCCCAGACCTCCAACGGATGTTTCGAGACGGAGGTTTTCATAATTTTCGGCCTCTGGGGGGCCTCGCTGGGCCCCGGGACCGTCAAAAAACGACTCGGGATGAAGCACTGGCCTCGGGGAGAAGGTCCAGACCTCCAGGGATCCCGTCTTGATCTAGGCCTCATAGATGGGGTCGGAGTAGATGGGGTCGGAGGATCGCGCCGCATCGCCGATGCATCGACGATGCGGATCGATGCGGAGCCCGATTTTCTTCACGCCGACGTCGCCGATGCATCGCCGACGTTGCCGTTGCATCGCCGATGCCTCGCCGATGCCTCGCCGATGTGTCGGCGATGTATCGGCGATGCGGCGCGATCTTCCGACCCCATCTACTCCGACTCCATCTAGGAGGCCTCTAGAAACGCACGGCGTCGGAAGCCTGGATTTAGTCTGGTCTGATGTCGTCCTTGTCCTGGCTTCGTCGCTGGTCTGGGGGTCAGTTTATGGCGGATATCTGGGGGTCGCCGTGGCCGGCGGCGTCGCCGTCGCCTTCCTTCGATGTTGTGTTTTCGGGCCCCCTCCTCGTCGACTCGGCTTGGTCGCAGCGCGAGAAACACGCCAAGATTCGAGAGAAGGAGCAGGGGGACCATGACCAAGATGTCGCGGGATCTTGTCGATGCCGACCTTGGTCATGGTCCACGTCGGTTTTTCCGCGTTCAGTCTTGGTCATGGTCCCCGTTTCTTCCCCCTCCAAAGATGGTCCCTGGGAGGTGTTCGAGGACCAGCCTTGAGCAAGTTTTGGCATCGTCGTCGTCGTCGTGCTCCTTATTCTCCTCCTGTCTCTGCTGCTACTCTGGGGGGATGGGGTCAAAGAGGGCCTGCGAATAGGAGCGGGGAGAAGAAATGGAGGAGGAAAGGGGAAAGGTGGGAAAATAATATTGTGAGGAGGAGGAGGAGGAGGAGGAGGAGGAAGAGGAGGAGGAGGAGGAGGAGGAGGAGGAGGAGGAGGAGGAGGATGAGGGGGCGGGTGAGGGGGAGGAGTGGGAGGAGGAAGATGAGTCTGCCCCTTCCTCCTTCCTCTCCCTTTCCGCCTCCTGCCCCTCCTCCCCGTCTTTGCCCTCTCCCCTTCCCCCCTCTCCTCCTCCTCCCCATCCTCGGCAGGGTTTCCGGCTCAGGCGCCGGTTTTTGGGGGGGCGAGAGGCACCCTGCGTCGCCTTCGGCGCCCGTGCCCGGCGCTTCGCAGCGCCGATCCGACCAGAGACAAGCCATGGCCGACGAGGGCCCGTCCAAGAGCGCCAAGAGGAGGGCCGCGAAGAAGGCCAGGGACGCGGCAGCCGAGGAGCCTGCGAAGGCTCCAGAGCCCGAGGTGAAGAAGGCGGAGCCGGCGCCGAAGCCGAAGGCGAAGGCGAAGGCCAGGGCCCCGGGGATCAAGACATCCGGGAGATCTTGGCGTCGCGTTGATTTCGCAGCGGGTGAGGCTGCCTTGCTTTCCTGCCCCAGTCGACCCTCACGGGTCGTTCGGGCTCGAAAAATGGCACAGAAAGATAGGGTCCAGGGATCGGGCCGTTTTTTTAATCTGTGAGAATCTGTCTCTCGATCTATCTATCTGTATATATACACACGGATCACATGACAGGTGTTTTTTTCTCCTGACGTCGGATCTCAGGGATTGCAGAACAGGGCTCTCTGCCAGATCCGCAAAGGGAAGTGTTGAACCAGCAGCGCCAGCGAACGCAGGTGCGTCTGTGCCGGACAGGTGGGTCGCGCCAGGGGGAACATTGGGAGTGGGGAATACTTCGACCCTCAGCTGCGGGTCTGTCAGGTGCGCCACTGTCCTGGTGTTTGGAAGTCCCCGTTGATGGTAGGTTCGTGTCGTGTCGACGCGGCGTGACCGCAACGCTGGTGTTCAAGGTTGCACGCCGCCAGCGGCACGGAAACCGCGCGTTGCCAGAAGCCAGCGCAGAAGTGGTCACGTGCCCTGGCATCCGCCGATCTGATTTTTTCAATCCGCGGGCCCAGAGGTTCCGACCGCTTGCCCAGGGACAATTTTTCGCCCCGGATCCCTTTCCGACGGTCGGGGGGCCTGGACACGGCCCCAAAGGGCCGAAGTCGAGGACCAACGCAGCGATGGATAAGAATCACATCGTCGGAGATCTGGGTGAGCCTGCCGTCTTGGGCCCTGAGAAGGCGAAGGCCGAGCCCACCCCGCCAGCGGCGGAGCCGAAGGCTAAGGGCAAGGCGAAGGCGGCGCCCAAAGCCGCTCCAGAGCCCGCGCCCGCGGCACCGAAAGCGGCCGCGGAGCCTAAGCCGAAGGCCGACGCGAAGAAAAAGGCGGACGGCAAGGCGGCGGCGAAGCCCAAGGCCCAAGGCCGCCCCAACGTGACCAGGATCGGCTACACGTAAGAGCGGGGCTGAATGTTTTTGGACGTTCTCGTCCGTTCCTGGAGGTTTGGCCTGCCTCGGCATGCGTTCCAGCAGCTGCGCCTCGCCGAGAGCGTTCCAGGGGTGTCCGGATCGTCTCGAACGGCCGCCCAAGACCCGAGTTATGACCTAACCCTAACTTTGGATCCGCCATACCTGAGGCAATTTCGAAATTAGGACGGAATGTTCGCCCTCTACTTTTCAAGCTCCTTTGATGCCGATGTCTGCCCTGTTTTGCCGTCGCTGTTTCTGCCATGCCTTTGCGAAAACATCTGCCCCCCTTTATTTGAGTCGTAAGTCGTCGCGTCTTTTTGAATTGTTTTTTTGTTCGCATCGTTCGGGGCCATTTCAGACACATTCCCCAAACAGTGCTTACATCTAGGGGGTCTCATTCTCTTTGAGGAATTGGGCCTGGGGGTCGATCTGGCGGCTCCGTGGTCGCCGTCTCCGCCCCGTCGCCGCCTCGTCGCCGCCCGTCGTCTGGGCCCTGGGGGTCGGCACATATACTGCACAACACAGAGTTGCACAACATCGAGTTGCTCCACACATATTGCACAGCGCAGATTGCGCACCGTGCAGAGCGTTGAATCTGAAAAGGAAAGTTCGGACCTACCATCCCCCCGAGGCCAGGATATCGGTCCCTCCTGGGAATGTTAAGTTTGCGTGTGATTCAGCTCCCCCAAGAGTAAAAGCATTAGGAAGCATCAAAGACCAAACTACAATCGCACATTTTATTTTGATTCAGTGTTCACTTTACAAATGAATTCATTCCATCACAGCCAAGTCGAGTTTGACCTCCCCCCACAATCCTCGGCAAATGCGCGCACACTCGTTCATCAAAAACCATCCAATTGCAAGGATCCCTTGAATGAGACAAAGTGCGCGCGCGTCGTCGCGCGCGTACGCTAAAATCTGCAAAAAAATGTGTTGTGAGGATTTCACGCCCGAGTGTTTCGAACACACAAAAACAATGGTTTTGCAACCAGACGCTTCAAAACACTTCTGCGAGCGCGTTCTCGAGAATTCTTGAGAAAACCATCGGTTTCCAAAATGTTCTTCAAATGCGACCCAACGGGCCTCTCGCGCCGCATGTCGAAATCGTTCGAACGCCCTTGCGCGCGTGTTCGGGGGGGGGGGGGGCACGATTCCTGTCAAATGCAAACATGCGGGCCACTCGCGCGCGTCGGCCGCGCGCGCATGTCGAAATCTGGCCAAAACCTACATCGACGACGCGTGGACACAGTCATCGTGATCGGCGTGATCAGCATCGGCGTTGTTATTGGCCTTGCCCCCGTCATCGTCATGATCGTCACCTTCATCGTTTTTGTTCATCCTCGTGTCTACCGTCTACCGTTGTCGGCGCTGCCATGATACAGCGCCCGCCCAAGTCACCGACTCGCATTGAAATGCCCGCTGGGGAATGCCCAGCCCGTCGGTATCCCGTCCTGTGGTGTCCCGTGGTGGGATAGATGGTGAGATCGACCGTGGGGCCGATAGTGAGATCGATAGTGAGGTCGGTGGTGAGATCGATGGTGTTCCGATTGTGCTCAGCACCACCGCCGTTGCTGTCGCCTCTACACTCATCGCCACTGCGGCCATCGTCTTGCCATGAGCAGCCCGCCATCACACTTAGCACCAACCATCACAACACAGTAGTGGTGACATTCATTTGTTCTCGTGGTGCCCTGGTGGTGTCTCGATGGTGAGGTCGATCGAGTTGGGTCGATGGTGGGACCAATTCGCGACGCAGCATCGTCACCACGCGTCGTCGCCAATTCGAGGACGCATCACCAGCATCGTCATCATCACCGCCATCGCAGTTGTCGTCAGGTGGGCTCTTTCTCGCCCCCGCCAACCTCCTTATCAGTATAGGTATGGGTCCGTTTCGACGCTCGTTTTCCAGATGAGATCATGCCATCCCGGCTAAATTGGTAACGATTGGCCCGACATCTTTTGCAGCAGTTCCTGTGCGCGCGCATTCGTTATCACACGTCACCAATTGACAATAACCAAATTCAACAAATGAGACGACATGCGCACGCGCGCGTCGTCGGGTGGGTAGGCCGAAATCTTTCACAAAACCGAAGGTTTCGTATGGATTGTAAACCGGGTGTCCCGATAACCTGATTGTGCAACATGAGTCTACCAACAAGCTATGCGCGCGGTCTCGCGACATCTGAAGAGAACCATCGTGCGTTGTTTCTCTTCAAAATTTTCGTTACATGCTGGGGAGAACCATATGCACCATCGATCACGCTTCAATTGTCTCAGCATTTTCAAGCATCGAGACCCGTCTGAAGAGTATGTGTTCTTCAAAGGCTACCAAGCTGGCATCTCGCGCGCGCATGTCGAAGTCATTCGAACGCCCTTGCGCGCGTGCTCGGGGTGGCACGATCCCTGTAAAATAATGCCATGCAGGCCACTCGCGCGCGTTGGCAGCGCGTGCAAGTGGAAATCCTCCCAGAAGCTTCCTTCACCACCGACGCGAGGACACGATCATCGTCATCGGCGTGATCAACATTGGCGCCGTCATTGGCCTTGCCGTCGTTGTTGTCATCATCGCCACCAACATCGCTACTATCATTATCGTGTCAGCATGTGTCGACGTCGCTATGATACCGAGTTCGCCCGAGTCGCCGTCTCGCCCTGAAGTTCCCGCTTGTCAGCGCGACTTGCGAGACGCGCTGGGAAGTGCCCAGCGGTCAGCGCCACCGCCGCCGCATCGGTCGCGCAGACTAGCTGGCCGCTTTGCGCGCGAACCTGCGCGCGCTAGCGCAGTCGCAGCGATGCGCCAGCCAGCGCGAAACACTCATCGCAATCACCGCCGCATGGGTTTTGCAAGCCGAGTTGCGGGTGGGTGGGTGGGATAATTGCGCGAACAGTGGGGTTGATCACATTGGGTTCGGCCGGGTAAATTGTGTCACCTAAATTGCACCACGTAGATTGCGCAACGTAGGTTGCCCAGCACGCATTGTATCACACACACACATATTGCATCACGTACATTGCACAACATGGACGTGCCACATTGTTCGCTACCTAGGCTCTGCCTAGAGGGTTCTTACTCGCTGGGCTTAAAGGGACCGGGCAGTGGGCTTCGCCCCTGGCGGTTCCCCCGGTCCCCGCCCCGCGGTTCCCCTTGTTGCGCCCCCTTACCGCAGCTTTGCGTATCTCATCTTAGCTTAGCTTAGCATAGCTTAGCTTAGCTTAGCTTAGCTTAGCATATCGTAGCATAGCCCAACATAGCACAACATAGCATAGCGCCGCATAGCACAACATAGCATATCATAGCATAGCGCAACATAGCACAGCATAGCACAGCATAGCATAGCATAGCGCAGCATAACACAGTATACCATAGCCAATCATAACATATCGCAGCCTAGCGTAGCATAGCATAGCGCAGCATAGCGAACATAACATAACATAGCATGACATAGCATAGCGCAGTATAGCATAGCAAAGCAAAACATAGCATAGCATAGCATAGCATAGCATATCATAGCAGAAACGCGAAGGCAAAGCAACAGCAGCAACATCAAAGCAAAGCACCAGCAACGCAAATCAAAGCAAAGCAAAAACAAAAGCAAAGCAAAGGAAAGGCAAAAGAATAGCAATGTGCGACAGATGCCGAGCTAGCCTCGATGGCCGGACCGGAGCCCCCGCAAACAGTGCCTTCCGTAGCAATTTCGGCTCAAGCCCGGGGGCCGTGCCACACAGCCGCTCACGCCCATGTCCCGAGGTTGGCGGAGCGAGGGTTTCAGCGGTGCTGCGCAGCCCGCCTCGGCACCAGGTGGTGCTGCACAACCCACCCCGCCTGTTGTGGCCATCGATGTGGGCGACGTCGCGTCCAAGCGGAACGACGATCAGCGGGTTGAAGGCAGCGAGATGTACGCGGCTGTCGAGGAGGGCTGACTCCACGACAGCGGGGAGGTTGTGGTCACACCACTCTGGTGAAACCGCATATTCCAGCGCCGATGATGCACCGATCTGGGAAGTGCTGCTGCTGAGCAATTTCGTACGAACGTTCGGTGTAACAAATGTTGCACAACCTTGCTCAATGCCAAGTCGTGCCGTGTAGACCGGATGCGGAGCATTCTCGAGCGCGCCCGGTGAGCGAATGCGAAAACATGCGCGCGTGCGTATGTGCGCAGGCAAAGCAAAAACACAATCAAGCAAAAGCAAACACAACAACAAAACGAAAGCAACAGCAAAAACAAAAACAAAAGCAAAGGCGAAGGCAAAAGCAAAGGCAATATCAAAAGCAAAGGCAACGCAAAGCAAAAGCAAAACCAATGCAAAAGTGTAGATGCAGATGTAGATGTCGGTGTAGGTGAAGATGTGGATGTAGGTGTAGATGTAGATGTAGATGTGGATGTAGATGTAGATGTAGATGTAGATGTAGATGTAGATGTAGATGTAGATGTAGATGTAGATGTAGATGTAGATGTAGATGTAGATGTAGATGTAGATGTAGATGTAGATGTAGATGTAGATGTAGATGTAGATGTAGATGTAGATGTAGATGTAGATGTAGATGTAGATGTAGATGTAGATGTAGATGTAGATGTAGATGTAGTAGATGTAGATGTATGTAGATGTGAGTCTCGACGTTGATGTTGCTGTAGATGTAGGTGCAGGGGCATATGTGCATGTAACTGTCGGTGTAGATGTAGATGTTGCTTTCCTAAATGCTCCAACTCCTAGGCAGGGTCGCACTGGGATACTTTGGGGCCCGCGCCGGCTAACATTTTTCAGCGCGAAGCTCGACCAAAGTGCGGCGGATTTGGAGCCAGGGGGGTCCGGAGGAGATGGGACACCTGAGGGCCCGTGTCTTTCGGGGCCCTCTCCGTTGACATCCGACGACGTGACCCCTCTCTTGGGGCTGGTTTCACCCTCCTGGCGAATCGCCTTCCGGAGCTGGGTCTGGATCTGGCCGT